TAACATCGATTTAAATATTAAGGGGGGGGGGGTTAATTAATTTTAACTTGGCGATCTGGAACGACGCCGATCACGATCGACCTTAATTATCGCAATCGATGAAGGAATCAATTTTTAAAGTGTCTCTCGTAAATTTTTGATATCCAATTTGTCCGTTGGAATAAAGAAAGGGGGAAAAAATTTTGATATCACGTTCTGGAATGTTCTCCGATTGAGTCAGGTTGGCAGTCGCTTCCGAGAGCAGAGCGAGGACCTCGCCTCGAGTCTGTTACTTTGCGTCGAGATATTCTGAATGCGGCATGGCGGCAGTTCTCCAGACGTTCGCCGTTCTTATGTTCTCAGGCTTTCTCTTCTCTCTCTCCTTAGGAAACGATTCGCCCCGGACTTAACGTGCTTTCACACAAAACCACGCGTCGCCCGTGCGCCGTTACAAGTAACACGTTCATTTTCATCACGACCCGCGATTGGCACTCACGTTACAATTTTACTTTTGATTCACAGTTTGAGTAACAGTTTAGAACAGATCTTGGAACGGGTTATTCGAGCCAATGATTATTCACGACGACTCGTGTTTCTTGAAACGCAAGATTCATCCCGTGAATATCCACGATTGGATAAATATTTCGAATAAAACGGAACGTTCGAATAAAATGAAATGTCCAACCTATCTCGATCCTTCAAGATCCTTTGGTCTTTAGAGGCCATTGTTGCGATTAACATTTTCGGAGTCGGTATTCACTCTTTCTATATCACGTAACAACTAGAGACACTGGAAACCGGCACAGCTTAGAATCCGACGTGCGATCGACCTGTAACCGGTTCCTCGTTCCCTTTCATCGATTCAGGGGCCACACGAGCCTTCCGTGCACACGTGCATACACATGAATGCAACTTGAGAAACGCGTGCACGATGATACTAAAGTCTGCCAACCGTCTCTCTCTCCTGCCGTTCACTTAGGGGCAACCCGTTCTCCAAGAAAGGTCACAATTTGACCATCGTTCCAAGTCGCGAGCGGAGCAGGTTTTTCGCTCCGCATTGAAAAAAAAAAAAAAGAAGAGAGAAGAAAAAGATCACTCCTTAATTCTCGTTCTCGAGAGGAACGATTCGATTCGTTCACGATCGATAATTCACACTCGGGATCGCAATCGTCGTGGATGATAATTCCACGATCGGCTTTTCCACCAGAGCCATTAAACACCGCTCGAGTCACGCTCGAGTCGGGGATGGATACCGATACTTTCCTCCTGTTCCTCGATCCGTTCCGTTTTCACCGTGATGCCGACATTGAAGAAAGACGAGAGATAGCCGGTATCTCGCGGCATCTGTTAACTAAAAGGGCAAGATCTCTTCTCCGCCTCTTCTGCGCCGACCTAGCCTATACGCCACGCGGCCATTTGCATTCGTCTTAAACCTCCCCTCGCCTCCCTGTTGTTGGCGCATAGCGTAAAACCGCATAATTAAGGACCTTGGCTACCGTACGTACGTCCATCCGCTCCTTCCGTTCCTTCGTTTCCCTATGCCAGTTACGTCTCACGGGGAGAGATCCGTGGTGGTGTTCGGTATCGTGCAAGAATCGAGGATTGTGCCGTCAGTCAACGGAAGGACAGCCGCGAGCCCTTATAAAGCACCAAAGGATCTATCCTGCGTGGCAGTATGTAGATTTCCAAGAAGAAGCTCGGCTCGCTAGAGGAGAGTTTTCTTTCTCTCTTTCTCGAACAAGGGAAGGAAGAAGAACAGGAAGGCGAGTCGAAAGCGTCTTAAGCTTGTCCACGTCTTCGTGCAAACGTTGATTAGACCGATCGACGTATCCTAACAGAGGGTTAAAAGAACAATCTCACGATACTTTTCTTTGTTGAAAAGTTCGAATGAATATTATTTTCGTTATTTGCGCGAATGCTTTCCTTCTCCTTTCTTTTAGAAAGATTTTTAAGGGATCTTCCCCGTATCGAACGTTATTATGTCGTTAAATTAAATTACTCGAATAACACAAGGAATTTTCTCACAAGTATCAAGCGCGAATTCCATTCTGGATAGATGGAGATTAATTCTATAGGAAAAAAAGAAAGCGTCGTTCGTGGCGAGAAGACCACCGTGAAACGCGGACACGTGGAAATGGTTTCACGGATTCGAATCCCAGTCCTAAAATGATTATTTCCCTGGGCACGAGCACGGACAAAGATACTCGTTATTCCCCGGTCGGTTTTTCCCAAGAGGAGGATCGCGAGGATACGCGAAAGGCTCGTTCTTAGGTCAATGCGATCGTATCTATTAATCATTCGATTCCTTCCCTCTGTCTCGCTCTTTCTCCACGGGCGTAAGAGCGTGTACACAGTCACTGTTTTGCCTGATAAATGGCAATGAGCGCCACGGCAAAGCGAATGTTTTACACGAGGCTAATCGCCGACTGACTAATAACTTTCCCCCCCCTCGGCGAACGGTCATGGGAATATGAGATTTTACAATTTGCCCGTATTTTCGAAAAACTTTCCCGCGTTTCTTCATTATTCGCCCTCTGTTTCAGATCGCAACAGGTGTCTTGGATATCCCGGATATAGAAAAGTTAGTAGAAGGGATGTTGCGGTTTTTCTGTATTATTTTTGATATTTTGATCGATCGATAGATAATAGATAATAGATCGGTGAAAAATTTCGAAATCAA